GATCAGCAGCTGGTGCCCTGGATCAAGAATAGGGGTCTGCATCTATAGAAATGATCACGTGACTCACATTTTGGCTTTATTGATATGGTGGAAATGTAATTATGTGTGGTGGAAATTGTACGGTGGATTAAACTTTCAACATATCAACAAAGCCAAAATTAAGAATCCATGATCATTTCTATAGATTCAGAAAAAGCTTTTGATAAGGTCCAACATTCATTCATGATAAGAACTTTACAAAAATTGGAATATATGGTCTTTACCTCATATAACAAAGGCCATCTATGACAAACCAACAGCCAGTATCATACTAAATGGCCAACGATTAAATGCCTTCAATTTAAAATCAGGCACAAGACAAGGATAGTACTGGAAACACTAGCCAGAGCAATTAGACGAGAGAGAAATAAAAGGAGTAAAGATAGGGAAAAAAGAAGTTAAATTATCGTTTGTAGAATGACATGATACTCTACATAGATGACCCCCAAAACTTTATTAACGGAATCTTAGATATAATAAATAAATTCAGCAAGATAGCTGGATACAAAATCAATACTGAAAATCAATAGCATTCCTATACACTAACCACAAAATCATACAGAGGGAAATAAGAGAAAATATACCCTTCACACTAGCAAACAAATAATGAAATATTCAGGAATTCCTCTCAGGAAAGAAGTGAAAGCCCTATACAGGGAAAATTATAATACTCTGAAAAAAGAAGTTGAAGATGATCTCAGAAAATGGAAAGACATTCCTTTCTCATGGATAGGAAGAATAAATGTGAAGATGGCCATTATCCCAAAACTCTTATATAGATTCAATGCAATCCGCATAAAAATACCATCAACATAACTCATAGATCTAGAGAAATCACTCCTAAAATTCCTCCAGAGAGAGAAGAGACCTAGAATATAAAACACAGTTCTAAGCAAGAAAGGGAAAGCAGGAGGCATCACAATCACTGACTTGAAGTTATACTAAAAAGCTATTGTAGTAAAAGCAACATGGTACTGGAATCAAAACAGAGCCAAAGATCAATGTAATAGATTAGAAGATATAACCACAACTACAAACACACTCAACCACCTTATCTTTGATAAAGGAGCAAAATAGCTTCACTGGAAGAACGACAGTCTCTTTTACAAATGTTGTTGGAAAACTGGCTCTCCATATGCCGAAAACTAAAACTAGACTCATGCCTATCACCATGTACTAAATTAAAATCTAAATGGATCAAAGATATGAATATTAAAACAGAAACACTATATCTATTGGATGACAAATTTGGTAAAAACCTTGAAGACATAGGGGTAGGTAGAGAATTCATGAACAGAACTCAAACTACATGGGAAATACACCCCAGAATCAATAACTGGGATCACATCTTATTAAAAAGTTTCTGCATGTCAAAAGAAATAGCCAGCATAGTGAAAAGAAAACCCACAAACTGGGAAAAAAATCTTAGTGAAGTCCCCCTCAGACAAAGGGCTTCTGTCTAAAACAGATAAAGAATTAAAAAAAAAATCAGACCCCCAAAATTCAAAGATCCAGTCCAAAAAAGGGCATCTTAGATGAATACACACTTCTCAGATGAAGAAATACAAATGGCAAATAAATACATGAAAAAAATGTTCATCATCATTTCTCATTAGAGAAATACAGATTAAAATCACACTGAGATTCCATCTCACTCCTGAAAGAATGGCTGCGATCAAGAAAACCATCAACAACAAATGCTGAAGAGGCTGTGGGATAAAAGGAACTGTGCTGCACTGTTGGTGGGAGTAGAGTGGTGCAACCATTGTGGGGGTCAGTCTGGAGATTTTTCAAAAAGCTGGGATTGGAAGTCCTATTTGTACCAGCTATTCCACTTCTTGGCATATTCCCAGAAGAACTGAAAGCATCGTACCCAATGATATATGTTCACCCATGTTTATAGCAGAACAATTTGTAATCCCAGATCTTGGAAATAACCCAAGTGCCTTTAACTGAGGAATAGATAAAAAAGTTGTGGTATTTTTATACAATGGAGTACTACTCAGTTATAAAGAAGGATCACATTGAGATATTTATAAATAAATGGGTGCAGCTTGAGACCATACTCACAAATGAAATAAATCAAACTCACGTGATGATTAAGTACACTAACAACAAAAATAAATCAAACTCATATGATTACCGAATAGTTTCCCTAGCGTAAGAAGTGACTCAAATACATAAAAGTATGTGGTACTCCTAATTCCCCATTATGTGGCTTTGAAGCCTTATAAAGTTTATACCCATTAAGTAGATTGGTTTTATTCTGGACTCTTTGATAGTATTGTCTGTGATGATATGAATAGCTATTTTGAAGAAAACAAAACATCATAATACCTAGTGATGACTTAATATCATCTTGTTTTGAAATTCCATCAAACTGTTGTTCTTTCTCCATTGGTTTTATCATGGTGTATCTTACTGGATTTTATTATATGTGATAATATAAACAAAATTTTTATATGCAAAGAGATAATATAGAAACCATTGTTCCTTTTCCGTTAGGTGGTTCTAAATACTGTGTAATACTTTCATCCCTCTTAATGGATTCAACTCTGTCTTGACATGATTGATGCTATAGTATATGAAGTTATACTGAAATATTTCAATGAAAGAGACACTATGGTAACTACTATGAAGTTGGGTTATCTTGTAGTGAAACACTATGTTGCTTAAATTGTTCTGCTTTGACCTGTATTATTATGTCCTCTTTTATCTCAATCTCCCCCTTTTAAAAAAATACTTATTTATTTATTATTATTATTTTATAATTAAGGGAAAAATAAAAAATAGCAGGATATATTATAGTAACTGTTTTAAATTTCCTATTAACTTGATTTGAAGCCCTGTATTGCTCCCACCATCTTGATTTGACTGATTTTTACTCTGTTCTGTTCTGTTCAATTTGATTGTATCTAGTTTGAGAGTATAGGCAACTAATTTGAGGCAATAAGATTCACTATGATGCCAATTCTGGTTTGACTATTATCTTCTTTTGAAGTCCTGTAATGTCTCCAGTGTTTAGGTTTTATTGGTCTCATTCTGTACTGTCTTGTTCAATTTTATTATACCTAATGATATTGGCAATTCTTTTTAAGGTAGGAAGAGGCATTATGGTAACTATTGTTGATTACCTTGTATCCTGGTGATTTATTTATTTATTTATTTATTTATTTATTTTTTACTGGTACCTGGCATCGAACTCATGACCACACACTTGCAAGGCAGGCGCTTATGCCGCTGAGCTAAATCCCCATGGCCCTCTTGCATCCTATTTTTACATCATGTACTATGTCCATCCTTTGTTTTGATTGACTGCTTTGTTTTGTGATATTTGGTTTTATTCTCTTCCAAAAAAAGTAATAAGAATTATGGGAGTAATAAGACACAAAATGTGTAAATGTTATTGTAAAAAAGAGAGGAAAAGAAAGTGCTCTAAAGGATACAACTGCAAATGTATTTAGATGTGTAAGATAGATGACCATATTACTAAGTTTTTGTTGGAACATTCAGCACAATTGTTTGTAGTCTCACTGTTTGAATGTTCATTTTATATGCTTTAATTCTGTAACTTGAACAACTATTTCTAAAATGACAATATGTAATCTATTAACTATTGATTTCTTACTGTTTTGTTAATTATGTATTACTTGTGCCCTTATACTGCTTTTTTTTCTTTAAATAAAATTAAAAAAAAAAAAAAGACTAGATGTCTGCAGGAGACCAGGGCCAAGTGCTCAGGACCAGTTGGGAAAGCTCTGGACCAGCATGGGGAACCAGGAGCAGCCCCAAATTGGTATGGGGAAGGAATTTCTAGAAGAGGGCTTCACAACATTTAGTGTCTGAGTTTCCCCTCTGTCTTAGCATCACACACACACTGAGGAGAGTGCACAGTGTATCCTCTCCAGTTCACACGTGAGGTCTCCAGACTGGAGAGAATGGAAGGGATTTTGGTGTTGACAGAATGTATTTATACTTGTATTTTACATTCTTCTTCATATGACATCCAGTGGGAAAGCTGCAGCAACGTACATATTCTGGAAAAAAGAATGTGAACCTTGGGAACATAAATGCTTTGCAATACACAGTTCTATGATCCTCATGAAATATTGTCTTTTATTTTTGTCGCCATGATGGAACTGTCACATATAGTCATAAATGTTTCAGTTTAGGAAAGAATAGAATAAAAGTATGTGCAGGAAGGGGGTTTTATGGAAAATGACAGGAGAATTTTTGAGCAAACGCATTACATGTCTTGAGAATGGGCATGGTTTGTGAGTATTTATCTATTGTATAGTTGTGTCAAAATGTATATCACTTGTTCATCAGTAAAATGAACATCTAATGTATATATTTATGCATAATCTATAAAAGTGTGTATTTTTTGAATAATTTCTTACCTCTCCAGCAGTAAAATGAGATGTCAGACCCTTGAACATATTTTTGAAAAAGGTGCCACTTGTCTACTCACTTATGAATACAATAGAATACAGAATGATATTGTCACATTCTGTCATTAGAAGAAGACATGTGACAATCATTGTTCAGTAAGCCCACTTTGTATTGGAATTGCTCAGCAAGTTGTTGAGTTCTGTGAGAAGATTGCAGGACCTCACCGACAGAAAGATTTTATAGCCTATGATCTCACAACTCATAAGACATTAGCCTTCTCACTCTAAGTACACATCTGTAAACCGGTGAAGTTACCAAATCCACTAACTACATATTGGTGAGAATTAAAAAAAAAAAAAAAGGTGAGGTTACAAATAGGAAGAAACCATGTATTCTACATATTGAGAATATTATAAAACAAATCTCAAAACATTCTCATGTGCTTTGAACCCTTCCTTCTCTGAGGCTTCCACCATAGAATCGGCCATATATACAGGAGGCCATGCAAATAGGACCTCCTTGTGCTATTGAAAACCACCCCAGATTTCACCCGGCAGCTCTGCAGAGGATACAAGGCCTGGGGCCCAACTGTTCCCACTCAGTGATCAGGACTGAGCACAGACGGCTCACCATGGAGTTGGAGCTGAGTTGGATTTTCCTGTTTGCAATTTTCAAGGGTAAATTATTTCAAACAAAAGATGTTAAGGGTAACAGCGGAAATGAATGGGTTACACAGTGGATGTGTGTGACACTTAACTAAGCAGGATGTCTCTGTTTTTGCAGGTGTCCAGGCAGAAGTGCAACTCGTGGAGTCCGGAGGAGGCTTGGTGAAGCCTGGGGAGTCCCTGAGACTCTCCTGTGTGGCCTCGGGATTCACCTTAAGTAATTACTGGATGGATTGGGTCCGACAAGCTCCAGGGAAAGGGCTGGAGTGGATCTCAGCAATCAGCGGTGGTAGCACATATTATGCGGACTCCGTGAAGGGCCGATTCACCATCTCCATAGACAACGGCAAGAACACGCTGCATCTGCAGATGAGCAGCCTGACACCCGAGGACACGGCCTTGTACTACTGTGCAGCTGGCACAGTGAGAGAAACCTCAGTGGGTGTCAGTCAAAAACTTCCATGCAGAGGCACTTGGGACCAGCAGGGGTCGCTCGAGAACACAGCACAGAGTCTACAAAAGGACATGTATTTTACCATTTTATTATTTTAGGTTAGCGTTATGACATTTTAAGAATGATGTTATAGGACAATAAAAACATCAAGGAAACACATTTTAAAAGTGTAACTACATAAAATGCCAACTAAACCACAAAATAATAGATTCATTTTCTAAAGCCACCAAAAAGCAAGAAATCTAATGTAACAAAATGTAGTGCAATTCAGTTGGCTACTGTCCTTATTGAAACAGTGTGTTTTTCTTTTTGTGTTCTTTCCTCAAAGAAGATAATACCTTTTTCAATGTTTTATAATGGAATGTAAAACAACTTAGTAAAATACAGTATAAATTTGTAAGAATGTCTTTTAATATGTCATCTAACATGTCTCTCACAGATAATATCTGGAAAAATAGATTAAAAAAAACCCTTCAGATGTATGATTACATGAAAGTCAATGTTCACTTACTCACAGTTAAAAATCAAGTAATACTAACAGAAAAGAGACTCAAACTGTGTTTTTCAAGTAGAATTGAATTTGATAAAATCCATGATACTAAGTACTAAGGAATTCAGAGATTTCAATAATTATCAGTTTTTTCAGTTCATCAATCTTCTGCCAAACATTTTTTCTAAAGTGTGTTTTAAGCCAATGTTACTAGGAAATGTCATACATTAATATTTATATTCTTTCCAGAGAAGCTTATAGACAAGCATCTAAAAATGTCTTTATAGTAAAGTTGAGATGACACTGAATTATATGTTTGTATCATATTTATCACCTCAAGTGTTTCAATGTTGCAAATTTATTAAATGAACAAAAAGCATAAAAGCAAAATATTTCTGAGTTTGCAGGTGTTTGATGTAAGGTGCAGGGGGCGGGCATTGCAGGAGGGCCGGCGTGGTGCAGCTGGTGGCATCCCTGAGATTCTCTCATGCAGCCCCGGACTCACCTTCCCTGACTGAAGGATGAAGTGGGACTACCAGCTCCATGAAGGGGCTACAGGAACTCACTGTGATGGTGACACACATTGTGCCAATCCTGTGAAGGGCTGATTCACCGTCTTCAGAGACAGTGCCAAGGGTCTACTGCATCTACAGATGACCAGCCACAGGTCTGGGGACACAGACCTATGTTAGCATGCAAGAGCCACATAAGAGAACATTAGTGTGAGCCCAGACACATAGCTTCCTGAAGGGCACCCCCATGGTTTCATTCTGAGACAGGGTTTCAGACTGGTGTTGAACTCACTTGGTAGCCCAGGATGGCCTTGAACTCAGAGCAATCCTCTTGTCTCAGGCTCCTGAGTGCAATCCTCTTGCCTCAGGCTCCTGAGTGCTGGTATTTTGGTCCATGCCACTATGTCCATCTCTTGGTCTCTTTTCAAGGGGTGCACATCCACACTCCACACACTCAGCCTGACAAAGGCATGTTTTGCCACCATTGTCCCACATACAGAAAATCCATTCCCACAATTGCTCATCAGGTCTCTGCTGACAGGATCTAAGGAAACAAGATGTTCTTTGGGAGAATAGTAGGCCTCATCATGGCTCACACTGTGCCACTGCCCCTTACAAGCCTTCTGAGATTCAAACCTGGTTACAGTCCTTAAGGCCTAAGTGGGTGCTGAGTGTGGGACCTGAGGAGTTTCAGCATTATCATGCTTGGTAGCACAGGCTGAGTGTCCTCAAGCAAGAGAGGGAAGGCCAACATTATAGGTATGTGTGTGGAAAACGTTGGGCCCTGTGAGGAGGGAAATTTATCCACCTGGCAAGATAATGTCTTCAGAGTTCAGGAGTTCAGTATGCTCCACCTCAACAGGGTACTCACAAATATCTCCATCCCATTGCACAGAATCTAATTCTTTCCCTTTTATCACCCTCACTTTTACGTCAGATATCTTTTATGGTTGATCATTAAAATTACACTTTATGGTGTAGTCAGGATTTACAAGGAAATACATTTAAAACAGGACACACAATTTATAGTATTGTTTCATATTATTCACTGTGTGAATAAAATGCAGAAGAGTGCAGGAGATCTGTCTACACACCAGAGACCCAATGAATGCAGCTAGGACCTGGTATTAATGCCAATGTCTTCTACTAATCTAGCTGGAGGCCTAGAGCCCGTGACAATATCCCATACAAGTCTGTGTCAAGAATATGCACCAGGAAGGCCCAAAGATCAGTAGTGGAAGCTAGAAAGTCTGTACCTGTGGAAGAAGCATCTGAGCCACAGGCTGAGGGATCTGCACTTTATCTGCAAAGCAACACTCAAAATAAGTGTCCGAGCTCTGCCATGAATGGCAGCTGCCATCCTCCATGACTGACAGTACCTGATCTCTTCTGACAAGGAGAACAAGTGAGTTTCTATCAGGAACACCCACCAAGACAAGCTTCTCCAGGAGCTTCAGTAACAAAGCACCTTTCCCTCCACTAGTGCTTTTATGCTACCGGCAACAACCCTCAGGTAGGATTTAACATCCAGGGTCACCGTAAGTTCAGCCAGGTGTCACAGCTGGCCATAGTTATTTCAGTGCTATTTGTATGAGGGAATAAAATTATCAGCGCTATTATGGTTTGAAACCACAAATAAAAGCCATTAGAGTTGCCTTTGTAGAAACAGTAAACCAAAACCAGTATCACATTCCTTGTGGGATTAATGGATTGCAGTGCCTCTATCCACGTTTTAAAATATGCAGGATTGCTGGATCCTATCACATCTCTATTTCAGTCCATTTGGCCCTTGAAGAAGATTCATTGTTCCTGAAGAATGGTAGTGAATGATCATGAATTTGGTCAAGTAGCAATTCCGATTGTACTTGCTGAGCAGATATGGTTTCTTTGATGATGAGGATGGTTATTTTTTTTTTATCTTTTCACAAGTGGGATAGAGCTGTGGATGTGACACAAGAGTTCCTCTTCATATCAACCATAGTCACTGAGGGACAATCAGCTTTCAAGTGGTGAGATCAGCAGTCTAAGACCTGCAGTGTCCTGCTTCAGAGCATACTAACTCTCCATTCCTGGGTCACAACTTATTCTCCAGGGATCTTGATCACTTTTTTCTCCCACACGGTGTTCCTCTGGTCTTTTTCAATGATAATATCAGGTCATTTACGTGAGCTAATGTTGGGAACCCTCTGGACCTGGCAGTAGAGCCTGTGCCAGCCAGATTATGGGACATAAATGCAACTAAAATTTAAGGTCTGTGAACCTCAGTAAAACTTCTAGGAGTCCAGTGGGACATTTGTAGCTATAATTTCTAAGTTGTAAGATAATCACATCTGAACCATCATAAAACCAGATGCATAAATTCGAGTGCCCCAATTTGGTTTCTGGCATCAACACAATCTCACTAAAGGGTTGTAGCTTTAGTAGTAGTTTAGTAAGCTCTAGAAGCTTACTAAATGATTCAGAAAGGTTCTGTTTTGAGTGTGGCCTACGAGGAGAACAAGCTCTGCAAGTGGTCCAGGCTTCTGTGTAGACTGTCCTGCAGCTCGGCCCTATGCTCTGGCACATTGAATGGAATTTGGAGTGGCACTACAGATAGAGATATTGTTTGGTTTCTCAGGCAGGGTAATTAACAGCAGAGGTGTGGGAAACCCTGCAATTGGTCGTCATCTTATGTTAGTAAGTCAACAGGCATCTTAATATTAAGTTTCTATTTAATAGTTAAGTTTCTATCTCTCCTCACCTTGCCTGTCACATGTCCCTGTGGTTCAGCCTATACAGCACTTATGCTAATTAGCCTGCATTATGGGCACGTGTGCAGGAGACTCAAATTGCCCTATAACCTCTGGTCTTGCTAGAACTTCCCACTGTTGCTAAGTTAACTGATAATGTCTCAGAACCCAACTCCCTCCTCCCCCAATACCCTATATATTTGTTACTCTTTCTTTGAATAAACGAGACTTGATCAGAGCACTGTCTTGTCTCCATTCTTTGTGCTTCTTATCTCTTTCAATCTCCACTCCCCCTCTAGAGTCTCCATGATTTTCCCGATCATCATGCAAATGTGCTCTGTTATTTTTGTAACTATGACAAAAATTGTGATGGAAATACTCTTGGTAGTTTAAGAAAGAATAGGATGAAGGAAGTGACTGGAGGTAATTTATGGAAAATGACAGGAGAATTTATGACCTCATAAATTACATATCTTGAGAATGGGTGTGACTTTGTCAATATTTAACTACTTTTATACTTTGTAAAATGTATCTCACTTATCCATCATTAAAGTACATTTGTAATATATATATATATATTATATATATATATATATAATATATATATATATATATATATATATATAATATATGTGTTGCATGTTTTAGAGCAGAATACTCGAGAGAGCTTTCTTATCTCTTTCCAGAGATAAAAGATGTCATATTCTTGAACACAATTTTGAAAAAGATGTTGGTATCTCTTCAATTATGAATATAATAGAATATGGAATGGTGCTGTCACATTCTATCTTTAGAAGAAGACATGACAATCATCATTATGCATGCTCACTATGTCTTTGAATTGCTCAGTAAGCTGTTGAGTTATATGGCAAGGATTGTAAGACCTAATGCCTGGGATGATTTTTTAGCCTGTGATCTCACATCTCATATGATATTATGCTTCTTAACATATGTACACATCTGCAGTACTGTGAAGTTACCAAATCCACTAATTATATATTGGTAAGAATACAAAAAAATTCACATTTGTTTTGTTTTGTAGTTCTGTATTGCGTGTACCCTTACGCCGCTTTGGTTTGTTTTGTGTTTTTCTCTTTTTCCTCTTAAATAAAAAAAAAATTCACATTACACACCAAAAAACATGCATTATACATATCAGGGATATTACAAAACAAAACACTGCCATGTGCTTTGAACCCTTCCTTCTCTGAGGCTTCCAGAATAGAACTGGAGAGAAC